CAATAGTGCGGCACCATGGCCTACCGGCGGTCATTATCAGTGTTCGTGACTCCAAGTTCACCAGCCAGTTTTGGCAGGAGCTCATGAAGATCATGGGAGTCAAGCACTTCATGACGACTGCAGGAAGGGCTCAGAGTGATGGAGCCACAGAGCGCCAAAATCGGACACTCGAAGATGCCTTGTGCTGCCAAGTCAGTAACCTCGGACATGACTGGTCAGAGCACCTCGGCACCATTGAGTATGCGCAAGCATTGATTCAAGCGTCGACGGGACTCATTCCATTCGAAGTGGACACGGGCAGAAAGTTGCGTAACCCCGTTCTTAATCAAGTTGAAACTTTGAATGAGCGAAGAACTTTTCCGAACAACGTAAAGCATTAGTCAAGATGGCACTTGAGAACCTTGACAAAGCACAGGCTCGTCAAAAGGGCTACTACGACAAAAAGTGCTCCAAATTGGAGTTTCGCGAAGGTGAGTTTGTAATGCTAGCGACACGCAACGTCCCCATCAGGCATGCGAAGTTGGTGAACAAGGATGAGAAACCAAAGTTAGTACCGAAGTTCATTGGTCCCTTTAAGATCATACAAGTAATCAACCCGAATGCTATGAAGTTGGAGTTGCCAGGGAGCATGAAGCGCCTTCATAATGTCTTCAATGTCGATCGACTGAAGAAGTTCCCTGGCCAAACGGTTCGGTTTACCAACCGACCCATACCCGCAAAGCGACTCCAATGCTTTTGGACGCCAGTGGCCACGAAGTCTTCATCGTCGAAGAGCTGCTGAAGCAACGACAGTTCAACAGTACGTCAGAGTACCTCGTCAAGTGGCATGGCTTGCCCGAATACAAAGCGACCTGGGAACTTGAGCGGGACATCAAACATGTTTCCCATTTCAAGCGACTGGTTAAAGATCTGCGAGCGAAGATACAAGCAGCGAAGTCGATAACCGCGTGAGAATGTAGCGACGTCACTCCAGTGGCGTCATAGGGTTATCGACCAATGAGAACATACGTCACTGTTGACGTCAGTTTACGACCAAGCTCAATTGGCGTGCGGCGTGCTCGGCCATGGACACCAAAAGTTCCTTCTGCAGAGCGCACGTATGTATAGCATAAGATATAGTATAGTCAGAGTAGTCATGCATGTAGATAACGCCAATCAATCACTTACAATTCCCTCTGCGTTATCAACTCCCTACAATGCCCCGGGGAGCAGTCCGACCACGCCGTGATCGCCATGGGCAACGACGGCTCGTCCTTCAAGGTCAAGAACTCGTGGGGTGCGGTTGGGGCAGCTACTTCATGTAGTACTGTACTTCGAAATACCAGTTGTGTAAACAAACGTACACAAATCATTTATATTTTATTCTAATACATTTCCTCATATACTAGTACTAGTATATACATGGTTGGGAGTCCCAACTTTCAAATAATGTACTATTAATAGTATGTCCGAACTTGGGACATACAGTACTTTTCAATTTAAAATACGTTGACGCAAGCAGGATTTTTGTGCGCATTTCTAGACCTGATGTGGCCAAGTGTCCTCGGCCACCTTCGGCGCCATGCTGCCCTTCCTGGCAGCAACCTCCGTGCATTCTCATCGGTGCGCATATGTACATAATGACTCGGAATATGACCGACTGATGTATTGATGCCGTGCAGGTTGTGTATGCTGGCGTGGCGACGGCCTCTGCCGACAAGCTCGATATAGAGTGGACCGACGGCCTCCGCTCATCGGTGGATTTGTTCCACCTGCGAGCGTGGTGCACGTGTCCTCAATGCGAGCACAGCACCGGGCAACGCCTCCTCAACATCACCGACGCTCCACTGGCTCCCCGTGTCTCTTCCGTTCAAGGTACGTCCATCCCTCGAACCCTCATTTCCATCGTCATCTCTCATCTCCCGACAGTCGCACCCAATAACGCTGGCGTGCACATTGAATGGGCCGCATCTGGTCCTCAAACCGACCAGTCTCCTCCCCATGCGACGTACCTTTCGTCGGCGGCGATCCGCAAGTTGACCTCCGATCCAACCACCGCCGCGTCGTTGACCCCTCCAACGTTAGCGTATGTGTTTAGTCGACCCTTCTTCTCCCCCCTCCTCCTCCTTCCTAAGGAGCTGCATGCATCCTTACCTAGCTCAAATGCCGCTGTGTCGTCCGTGGACTTTGCCGCGCTGTCGTCGGACGACGGCGTCCTCGCGCTCTGCGAGCACATCCATCGGGACGGCCTGGCCATCGTGCGACATGTTCCCAGCGTGCCAGGGACCGTCCGCGATGTTGCCGAGCGCATCGCTCCGATCTCCCATACCCATCTCTATGGATCCGTGTTTGACGTCGTTGCCGAGCACAACCCAGTACGATGCTCCTATCTCGAGGGAATCTTATTTATTATTTATTTATATAAACATAAATGAATGATCCCGTAGGTCAACATTGCGTATACGTCGGAGCGTCTCAAGCTGCATTTGGACTTGGCATACTACGAATCCCCACCGGGTCTTCAGCTGCTGCATGCCCTTCGATACGACGCCACCGTCGAAGGCGGTACGCTCGTTTATATATCTCTTCGCTCGTTTATATATTTCTTCATTTATCTTGTTCACGTCGTCATCTTCTTTATTATCTATTATGCTATTAAATACATTCTCAGCTAAATTGCTATATTACCTACACACTCGTTCGGGTCAATTCATATGTTTCGGTTGGAAAAAGTTGGTTTTACGTGCTATGTTCGGAATTTTTATTTTATTTTTAAATGAAAGGGTGTCATTTATTCTTTTTTATATTCGCATCAAGTGATTTTGATATATTTTCCATCCTCAGAACATCTGCCACCCCATTCATTCATTCTGCCCAATTCCATGTATATCTTGCCTTCTACAGCACCCCCTCCTTCGTGATGATGTTGCTCCAAATAATATAACAGCTACTTTTGCAATAGTAGCTAAAATGCTCCATATAATATAACAGCTAGTTTTGCAATAGTAGCTAAAATAGAAAATATAATACAGGTTTATAAATTCGATTTCCGTTTGATATTTGTATGCATCTATATCTTCTGTATTTTTCAAGAATGTAGATCTTTTTATGCTGTATTATCTATGCTCTTTGGTTTTACAACATACAAATCACTCGGACCAGGCAATTCCACGTTTCGCGATACATTTGATGCCGCCGAGACACTTCGACGCCGCCATCCGGACCATTTCAAGCTGTTGACACGTGTCCCCGCGACGTTTCAGAAGATTCACATCCACCGCACGACCCCAGCGATTTTAGAGTACCATCGGCCTCATATAGCACTGAACGACCAGAACGAGGTTTGGACTTTTTACATATGAGATGGGGTTTACGATATGAATGGCGGCAGGTGACTGCGATGTTTTGGAGTCCGCCGTTCGAAGGGGTGCCGACGCGCATTCCGGCGGAGAAACTACCAGCGTATTACGCGGCGTACCGGGCCTTGGACGAGATCATTCAGGAAAATGTGATCGAGTTCAAGTTGAAGCAAGGCGAGTTGGTCGTGTTCAATCAACGCAGGTAATAATGAGAGATACAGGGAGACTTTTAACGAATGAGAGTGAGATATAGAGAGTGAGATATAAAAAGTGAGGGTGATATAGAGAGTGAGAGTGCATTATCAATGGATGTGGGTAGGATGCTCCATGGACGGGAAGCGTTCGAGTCCAAGTCGGACGGCGTGCGGCACCTCCAAGGGACGTATGTCAACATCGACGACTTCCTCTGCCGGTTCCAGTCGCTCCGCCATCAACATGACAAGGCAAACACAGTAGTAGTAGGCCATACCCTTCGCGTAGGCAACCAGTCGCATTGAGAAAGATATTGTCGATTTGATACAAATTGGGGAGGGGGTGCAATCGAATTTCGCGAAACCCATCCACAATCGACCTGATTGGTTGAATTTCATTGAGAAGGTTTTGATTGGTTAATAATTTTGAGCTCAACTGAGGTAGCCAATCAAATCGATTTAAATTCCAACGAGAAACCACGCCACAACACGAAATTTCACTCGAAAGCACAATAATATTTTGCTTTCAAGCTAAATTTGGTATTTGACTTGAACTAACAGTAAAAATACTCACTGTGAATCCTGAGGTAACTACAATGTTGAACTCTTTGTGCAATGGAGAAGCACCAGACACACCTGCAATTTGATTGGTAGAAAGTTTTGTATTTGAACATTTCATTGGCTACTTGGGTCCGTCGATTCGATTGGCAGCCCCAAAATCCATTTTGAAATCGAATTACCAATATTGTGCTTTCGAGTGAAATTTCGTGTTGTAGGGTGGTTTCTAGTTGGAATTTAAATCGATTTGATTGGCTACTTCAGATTAGCTCAAAATTATTCGCCAATCAAAACCTTCTCAATGAAATTCAACCAATCAGATCGATTGTGGATCGGTTTGGTCGGCGCGATTCGATTGCACCGCGTCCCCAAATTTGTATCAAATCGACAATATATGAAGGATACAAAATACCACGTCAAAGAAGTAGATTTTGCCATGATGTATGTAATAGATGCGTTGCAGTACACTGTATATGGCGACGGACGGTGAGTTAGGGACATGCCTCCGATGTTGGGGCAGCAGCCAGAAGGTCCGAGGATGGCTCTACTATACGTGTAGATTCAATGTATAAGTATCTGGGCACTTTTACGAAGAAGGCGTACAGTACTGTAGTCAAGGTATGGGGAAAATTTAGGTTTTACAATTCTATGCAATAAAATACTTAATTTCCGCGAATATTCGAGGCACAATTGTTTTAATACTATTATAGTAGTTTTTTGCCATTGGGTATTGTCGTAATTTAATTGTCAATTGTTGATAACTATATACTGGTATTGAATTGTACTTGATTGTCCATACAAATGATAAGTGAACGTTAGATTATTGTTGGGGGCACTTGGATCAACTGCATATGTCGTTGGATGTGGCAAGCCATACTATGACAATCAATAATGTTTGCAATTTGCCACCGCCTTGCGATTAATTATTTGCTGAATTTACTCGTCAAAGTGTAGTCGTTGTTCATTCGCACATTATAAGCAATGCCGGGGCTCCATCTGTCAGGGCAACTGCATTTCGTTTATGTCCCGGTGCTTTTGGTTGTTGATGTGTATGTATTGGGCATTCGGTATGAATTTCCGGACCCTGTTCAATCACGAATCGCTCCCATTGGTCAATCAGAAATTACTTGTCGCTGATTGGCTATAATTCATTTGCGAAGTGAATATTCACCAATCCGATGTCTCGGCTCAGTTTGGGCTCGATTGAACGAAGTATGGAACATCGGAAAATTTGAAGAAAATCGACAATACTCCGTAGTTAGTACTTCGAAGTATAACGTTATTTGTACTCCGGAGTACTACCGCTATTAATAAACGGTCTCGTGATATATATTAGTGTCATCGAAAAATACCTATGCTACTGTATTTGAAGTTCAAAAACTAACGTTAGATTTGTGTTTTGTATGCAATCGTTTAACGTGCGATGTTTTTTACGTTTTTTTACGTTTAACGTATGCTCAAGACGTTTCGTGTTTCCAAAACGTTTGATACGATTTTGACCAATCGGAATCATCGCCCCAAGATTGTTTCTTCGCTGCAGTAGTATCTCGACGACCAGCATGGACATGGCTGGGAATTGCACGTACCCGCTGGAGTTGGGGCCGCTGCAGATCAACTACCTCGAGTTCCACTACTGCGTGATGGCAGGCCATCCGTGGATCTCACTCGGTGTTCTGTGCATGTGGCTCCTTCTCCTCTTCTATCTCGGTACGTCGTTCATGCATCACCCTTGATTCTCCTGACTTTGGTGCTGTGCATTGTTGGTCTAGTCGGCCACACCGCAGACACGTACTTCTCGCCGACCTTGTCGATGCTCTGCACGCAGGTATTCCTTGTGCCTCATCGCTCCATGCTTTCTTTCTCATATTTGGTGTGTAGTTGGCCATTCCGTTTGACGTGGCCGGAGTCACGTTGCTCGCGTTTGGCAACGGTTAGGCGCCCCCTCCCATCCTCCCTCCATCATCATCATCATCCTCATGCAACCCTTCCTCGTTTAGGCGCGCCGGATGTGTTTTCGTCGTTGGCCACGTCCACGTCCGGCACGATGGCGACAGGGTTGAACGCGCTTCTCGGCGGCGTCATGTTTGTCACGACCGTCGTCGTGGGCGCGTCCTTGCATGCATCTCCCACGTCTTGCGTCAAGATCACACCGCGGCCGTTCTGTCGCGACGTGCTGGCGCTGCTACTGACCCTCCTCGTGCTGATCATCGACTTGCCGTCATCCACGACGTCGCGCACGAGCGCGTACGTGCTACTGGGGTGCTACGTCGTGTACGTTTCGATCGTCATCGTGCCTTCTTGGTGCTCTCAACGCAAAGCCAAAGCCAGCGCCGCCGCCGCCGCCATGGCAGACGACGCCCAAGGGGTGCTGTTTGCATTTTGGCACGCGCCGAATCTGTTCCCGCTCCGTTCAAAGCAGCATTCCCATTCGTACGACTTTGTCACGCTCAGCGACCCCCACTCCCCGCCACTCAAAACGACCTTCGCTACACCTTGGACAGCACCACCACACCTAGGTGTACACCCCCCGCCAACTTATGTGGACGACACCTACTTTCCCCCGCCACTACCCGTCATATCATCAACCGAGCTCGCGCGTCCGCTGCTTTCTCCACATCACCAGCACCTTACATCCCCTTCATCTTTCACCTCGACGACGCTGCTTTGCCGTGTCCGCTACGTCCTATTCCAACTCGTTCGAGACGTTTCGATCCCCATGGTGCTGGTCACGACTTGGTCGAGACGTCATGCGTTTCTATCGCTGCTGGTGACCCCCCCCTTTATCGCATGGGTTTTAACTGGCGACGCCTTTACGCCGGACGTGGCCTGTCTCACGCTCGTCCTCTCGATGCCCGTGGCCACCGCCGTGTATGCGACAACGTACTCGACGACGCCGCCAACCGCCGCGTGGGTCCGGGGGCTGTTTTATCTCTTGGGGTTTGCTTCATGTGTGTGCTGGATCTATGGCCTCGCATCGGAAGTCATCGCGGTGCTCTCGGCGTTCGGAGATATCACGAAATTGCCGCCCAGCGTACTCGGCTTGACGGTATGTATGTATGTAGGTTGATGGTGGCTATAGTATTCTTGGATCAGGATCGCTCTGGCTCTACACATTGGTTGTGTGATTGAAGTAGAGTATTCGATATATGTTGTCGACTTGTATATATTTGGATTCTACATATATATATATAATATATATATATGAGTGGATAATTCGTAAAGAGTTGGATTATTTTCTGTTGTGTACATAAATAGAGATATAATAATGAGACGATTTGTACACACTCGATATGGTTGAATCATAATGTTGTAGTCCATTTATTTTATTGTTTATACCTCGTTGTGATTGAAGATATAAATTAGTTTATATTTATAGCTTATTTCAAGAATATAATATAGTTTGATTCGGATTTGGTTTGTATACAAATAATTGCATTTGTGTATTGAAACCAAATATTATTGCTATTATGAGTATTATTCCATACCAAAAACGTTTATATTGGACACATTACTATATGAACGAGTTATGAGATACTGTTCAAGTTGACTGCATATCACCCGCATAGGACGTTATGCGATCTTGGTATATATCTCAAGGGGCGATTTGTGTACCCGTGTGTCCGGATAAAAAACTTGTATCTTCTCCATATAAAACCGATATATATATATATCGGTTTTATATGGAGAAGATACAAGTTTATATATATATATAATCTTTCTAATCGAGTGATCATCTGCTTCTAAAACCGATCAGCGTATACATATATTTCGAATTCAATGATTCTCTCTGTTTAAAAATGAAAATATATATATATCTTTCGAATGGAGCAATCTATCTTCTTCTAAAACCGAGCAATGTATATATATATATATATATATATTTCAAAAGTGAGAGAGAGATGTATAGGTGCTGTCGTGGGGGAATTCCGTGGGCGACCTGAGCACAAACGTTGCAATCGCCCGGGGCGGGTGCGCCGAGATGGCTCTGGCGGGGTGCTTTGGGGGCCCCGTGTTCAATTTGCTCGTGGGGCTCGGCGTGCCCTTGGCCGTGTGGGGCGGGGGGGGCGGCGCCGCCGTCTTTGACGTCCACGGACTCGTGTCAGTGGCGGCGCTGGGGCTCAGCTTAAGTCTGACGCTGGCGGTGGCGGTGGTGACCGGATTTCAGTGTCCCAAGTGGTATGCGTCCGTGCTGTACGCCGTGTATGCCACGTACACGCTCTTGCACGGGGCTATCTT